AGAGCAGGGCCTGTGAGTCACCACAGCCTTGAATGTTGTGGTGGATGAAGGCCTCGACATATGGGACAGGCTCCAAGGTCACTTCCAGGGTCCACCCTACCTTCCCATGGGTCAGGCTGGGATACTGCGTCCTCTGGGTAGGAGGATGGGTGGGGGGACAAAACGAAGCCTGGGGCAAGATGGAAGATGGGCCAGGCTGGACTCTGCATAGGGTCACCTCCCTAACCAGGCCTGATGAGGAAGCAGATGCCACAGTGTGGCAAAGCTGCTCAGGCTCACCCAGTCTGTAGCCTTCAAAGCAGGACAGAAGCACAAAACAGGACAGAGCTGGCTGCTGTAGGCGGGACCATCCCACTCGCCAGCCCCTCCCCCAACCTAGGCTGAGAATAACAGAGCAGAGCAGCTGGACTGCAACTCCCAGAGGGCATGTGCTCTCCCGAGCACCTCAGAAAGTCCGCAGAGGTCTCCTAGATACCCAGATAAACTCCCACAATCACGCCTGCTGCAGCTCAAACAACAGGCCACCCTAAATAAACTCTGAGAACCTCAGCTGGGCTGAAAGAATGACAAAGGAATAGAGCAGTCACCTGAACAGATTCCAAACATGTCCCAGCACCAACGATGCTGGAGCCACAGTAAAGGACAGGCAGGCACTGGTCACATGACATTTCTGCCAGATTCCAGCCACCAGCACGCAAGGTCCTGGCCAACCCTCGAAGAATGACTGAGAGGTCTACCCAGCTCCTGTGCAGGCAGGAGGCTCGGCACAGCTCACGTGGCCCAGGACCCTGGCTCACACCCAGCTAGACCTCACAGATGCCCTCACATGGCCAGTGCACCGTGACTGTGGCCTCGCATGCACAGTAACCACCCCTTCCTGCTCCATGCTCCAATAAGGAGTTGCCGCACTGAAGTGATCTACCTGGGCAAGAAAGGTCACACAAGTAGGGTGGGGCTGCCTCTTAGCTGACACACTTGTCCCAAGCTGTGTCCTTGGCCCTGCCGACAGGAGATACGAACCCTCCTCCCCCAAGCCAAACTTAGGCTTTTGGCCTGCACATCCTGCCAGCACCCAGCAGCCCCATGGAGGAGAAGCACAACTCCATCTTGCAGAGGACATGAAGGCTAGCACGAAGACAGTGCAGGCACAGAGTCCCAACCCTTCATTAAGCCTTGCTGCTGACACCTGGCCCCCTGTCTCCCAAACTCAACCGGCCCAGGCCTCTTCTGCAGAGTATTCACGCATGACTTCTGCTTCCAATCCCTTGAACCACAGGGTAGGCTGTATCTGCAACCTTCATAAGTGGCCACCTCTGAAGACAACCAGAACACCTTCCTCTCAGGAGGGCAGCTCCTGGCCTTGGCCCCCACGCCACCTGGCAGCAGCATATGAGTACCCACCTTGAACTTCCTGCTGGGCCATCCACACTGGCACTGGCTGAGTGGGTTCTTGATAATGCAGTATCCAGTCCATCACCCTTAGCACGCACAGAGAGCTTGAGGCGGCAAAATCGAGGAGCTGGTACTCGTGCCTAGGGCTCTGTCAGCAAATGAATTCCACCAGATACAGAAGCCCAGGAGAGACCAAGCACCAGGGTCACTCTCTCAAAAACAACATTTAGCTCAGGCGCCAGCAATAAGGCCATCCACCCTGGCATCTGTGCCAGTGTCCACAAGGCTGCTGGTATGCTATCCCTACCCAGTCCTCCAGCCCAGCTATCATCCAAACCCTGACTCTACAAATGTGGAGTAGGCCCCATGACCACAGACCTGGCCAGAGGTCAGACTGCTTTTGTGGTTTGATCACAACTCTCTCCCTGGGGCTCAGGTTCAGGTTTGGACCCTCCACAGAAGCCACCAGGAGAAATGTGCTGGCTCAGAGGCCCAGCAAACGTCAGCCAGCCACCCACTCCCTGCCTCACCTGTGTCAGGACCCACACATGGGCCAAGAGAAAGCAAGCAGCAGGCCCCTTGCCCATGTTGTCCCCCATGTGGACCCTGCCTGGGCAAGGAGCTCACAGGCCAGCCAGGCAGGCATCGGACTTGAAGCCACTCTCATCCATCCAGACTGTCCCGATCTCCCAGTCCCCACTAAGCTCTAGAACCTACCTACCTGCCAGACATGAAGGGCCATTTAGAGGATGCCTCCTGGACAACAGGGCAAAGCCACTGTCCAGCCTGTGACCTTGACCTGAACCTGCCCTGTGGCCTTAGGGTCCATCACCCAGTCCGAGGCCTGGGGGGCATCGTCAGTCACCACAGCCATCCAGTCAAGCCCCTTGTGGTGTCCTCTGCGAGGTGGGGACCTGGCTCCAGCTGCCACTGCTAATGGCAGAGGGAAGGAGCCAGTGATGTGGACAAATGGGTGACAGTCTGCTGAGCTCCCTAAGTGCACCCCCTCAGCCTCCATGGCTTAGGACCACACATAACAGGGTTCAGATGCCAGCATACAGATCAGCACCTGCTAAGGCCTCAGGCAGGGCCACCACAGGCTGTGGCTGGCAACCAGCTCTGACCAATGGTTGTGGGAGCAGGGACAGAGCTATGCAGTGCTGGGGGATCACATGTAAATGGTGTGTGCATGTGCGTGTGCACATCTACCCATGCACATGGCAACATCTCCTGAGTCCTCTGAGGAGGTGCTGCCCAGGGCCAGGTCCACAGTTTCCGGGGAGGAAGAATAGGTCCAGAAAGGCAGTCAGGTAGTATAGCCGAGACAGAGGGTCAGGACCAAGGACGGAGACATGTGAGCAGCCCACCCAGAGAGCTAGGCCCAGCAGGCTGACATGGCCATGCCGCCTCTCACCATGCTCCACCAGCCTAGTAAGTCTGCACTACAGGCCACAGCAGAACCCAATGATCTGGGCCTGAGCCCCAGTGGCCCCACAAAGCACCTGCCCTGCACAAGCCACTCTACTCAGAGTCTGCCTCCCCCGCTTTGGCTGGGTTACAAACAATTCCTATTCAGAAAGAAGTCAGAGCAGTGGTCACTTGAAGGAGCAGGGCAGCAGCTGAGAAGTAGGCGCAGGTTCCTGCAGTGACGGCTGTTCTGCACCCTACAAAATGGGCTGAGGTAACAGAGAAGACCCTTTCCCCAAGTGCCCAGAGATTCCCAGATGGTGACTTTGGGGCACCAAAGCTTCCTGGTGCCAGGAAACCATACGGCACCAACATCCCATGGGGCCTGCAAGACCTCAGTCTTCAGGTTCCTCTAAAGGACCAGGAGCCAGGGTGCAGCTCCAAAGTCGGGCACCGGGTGAGTATGTGCAGAGCCAGGGTTGATCCTGCCAGCACCAGAGTCAGGGGACAGCTGATGAGTCCGGACTCATAAAGCCTGTGGCCACCCTGAGAACCTTGAGGGCCCCTGCACCAGCTTCTGGGCTTTATTTGGGGGCAGTGTCCCTGCTGGCAGGACAACAGCAGCCAGCAACAAGGACAGGAGGATTTCCTGGGAGAAGGCAGGAAGAAAATCCCAACACCTGAAATGACCAGGAAAATGATTAACAGGCGTCCTTCAAGTGCTGCAGCAATTACAGATAACCTGTACTTATGTTTTTCCCTGGAAAAGCAAGGCAAACAGCCCATGGGTATCAAGCCCAGTAAGGTCTGCAGGTAGACTTGGACTAACTCTGTTTATTGTTAGACAGACAGAATAATAAACACCTTGGCGTCTCTGCCCCCAAGCTGCTTTGCTGCCGTGGAACTGACGTGGCTGCAGGGTTAACCTGCTGGCTTCCATTATGCACATTCCTGAGTGGTTTACATTTAACCCATGTCATAGCAGCCAGCCGAACTGGGCTCAAGCATGGCAGAGGCCATAGCACCCAACCCAGAGATGACCAAGGCCGCACCTTCTGGCACCTCTGCCTAGGGCCTCTCAGTAGGTCCCAGGAGCTCTGCCCAGCAGGGGACATGCTGGCAAAGGAGTGTCCCCATCATGAGGGCTGTATGAGGGTGAGGGTGTATAAGCTAAGACCCAGTGCTATGCAGATGCCCAGATGCCCTGCTGCTTGATGTGAGAATAGCCCAACCAGGGTGGTGAGTCCAGGCAGGTACAACTGGATTTCCAGGTGCCAAGGGAAAGCACGTGTTCCTATGGCCTCCAAGCCACCAAGGGCCAGTGACGAACCACCTCACTAGGAGGACTCTTCTCTTCTCCCATCCCTCACCCCAAGTCCAGCCACACACACCTGCTCTCTGCTCCTGGATACCTGGTTCCCTGGTCACCAGGACCACAGCTCAGAGAGGCTGTGACTGCCATGCATGTGGGCCGAGGGTTACACCAGTGCAGCCTGATGGGGACACAGGACAGCCAGCAGCCACTGTACAAGAGGCCTGCTGGGGACAAAAGACTTGTGGCCTGAGCGCATGGTGGCCACAACACTACTGTCCTTTGTGGCGTGAGCAGAGGACACCATTTTGATAGCTGTGGCACTGGAGCTGGAGCCCAGGGCCTCATGGGCTGGGCCAGCGCTCACCACTGTGCCACCCCAGCCCTAAACCTCTATGGAGAACCCAAGCCCTGAACCCACTGCCCTCCAGGTCCAAGGGAGGCAGTGCCCACAGGAGCCAGTGTAAGGACCCAGAGGTAGCCCAGGCACACATGCCTGCAGTGTGATATGCACAGAATCACTTAAAACCAAAGGAAAAACCCACTAAGGTTTGCCACGCTCTTCCACAAGCATGCAGCACAATGGGAGGCCTGGAGCCAACGATGCTACAAGCACTTTGTCAGCTGCCTCCACTACTCCCATCTGGAGCCAGGCTCTTTTGAAGGCTGGACCACACCCTGACACTGGACATGCCATCCCTGAGCACCTGGGCTGCACAGCTCCCTGCATCAGGAACCCTTCACCAGGTCCACCCAGCAGGGGTCCTCTTCCCACAGGACTCTGAAGAGGCTCAGGACCCAGGGCAAAGGGGAGCCGGGCTGCTTCTGGGCACAGTGCCTCCTGTGCTACGAAAGGCACCATAGCCCCATGTGGCCAGGGATGCCATACCTGTAGGTGATCCTCACTTCCGTGCCAGGCTCGTCTCGCTCCCAGATCAAAGCGATGCTCTCGGGTGCCTTCCAGACATGTTGATCCAAGCAACTGACTGCACAGAAATAGGAACATGGACATGAACATGGACAGGGCTGAGCAAGGATGGGGAGTCCACTCCCCAAGGGGGACCTGTCCTTGCCCACGGTCACCATGACTCACCCTCCTTGAGGGAGAGGGAGATGGCATCACTGCAAAGGAGAAGCCAGACGACAGAGACATGGTCTCGTGACCCCCAAGTATCTGAGGCAGCCGTGGTCCCAGCCCTGGTTGCATCCAGCCCCTCCCAATCCCTTCCCAGCCTTGGGCCCCCAGCTTCCTGCTTCCATACACAGCCAGCGCAGGGCAAACAGCCTGGGACACAACTGTAGGCCCACTGGTGGGGGTGCCCCCAGGGCCAGGAGCCCAGCCCTCTCCCAGGTGACCCCTGGCACCTCAACCAGCTTCTACTCCACAGTGGAAAAAACAACTCTGGCTTCCCAGAATTCCCTCCCCAGCCCCTCCCGCATGCAAGCTCAGATCACAGGGCTTCTGCAGAAACCGGTCTGTGCCACCATCTGCCCTAATCCTCACTTGCCCGACACCTGTACAGTCACGAGATTTCACAGGTGAGCCCCTCCAGCCTCAGAGGCCGGCTCCTGTGCACCTCCACTGCTGGCCCAGGAACTCGGAGAGAATGAGCACTGTGGGGAGCTGGGGACAGCTGCCACCCCATCCTCAGGGTCACCCTAGGGTCTTGTGTGTACACAGTCTCATGTGTACACTGCACCTAAAGTAAACAATACCTGCTAAACTGTGATCTCAAATGTTAGAGGAAAAAGAAAAGGGAAGTCACTAATCATTGGGTGTGAAACTTCAGGTGTATAAGAGGAGTCTGTGTGGAGAGTGTACAGTGTCTAACTCTACATGCACTGCCTTGTACCTTCAGAATCTGCTAAAATGAGGTAACCAGGTAGATGCAGGGGAAGGTACTAAGTTACTGACTGACCCGGGGAATTCCTCCAAACAGAGAAGAAATGACAGAGAGAGACCAAGTACAAAAGAGACAGACTGACAAAGGGCTCAGGGGCAGGGCTGGAGGTACACAATCATTGGTGTCAGTGCACATGCATGTGTAAAAGTGTATGTGTGTCTGTATGCAGGTGTGTGATGCACACAGGAATGTGGGTGCGTGCATGGCTGTGAGGGTGTGCATGTGTGCATATGCATGTGTAGGTGTGTGTGTAGTTGTGGGTGACACTCACTGGGCCAGAAGAGCTGACACGCATGTGACACTTCTCTCAGGGCTCACTGAAGGACAGCAGGTGCCCAACATTCTTCTCACTGGAGCGTGACAGCCCCAGGTCAGGTGAGGCCCCCTCAGAGCCTGAAGGTCATGTGCTGGGCAAGGGGGCAGAACAGACAGCATCAGGCATGCGTGTAGCAGATGCAGTTGCCATATCCAGAATCCCAGCAGGTCAGCCCACCAAGGGGCTCTGCCAGGGACCCCACAGAACCTGGGAAACCCCCACCCCAGACCCTTTGCATGCCCTTCCAGTTGCAGTCCCAGCCCACCCTTCCCATCCTCTGGGCCCTGCAACTCCCTCTAAGGGCCTGAGATATCTGTTGCTGGCTACAGGGTTTCAGGCCACCTGTCCAGGTCATGTTGGTGCAGCTGCCCAGAGCTTGGAGCTGAGGGTCACGGAGGCAGGAATGGTTGTGGTACGTCCTCCAGCTGCAGGATGATGTGGAAATCTAACCTGCCCCAGTGGCCCCGCTGTATACAAAGAAGGAACAGTTTTTCTGGCTTTGGCTCTCAATTGAAAGTCTCAGCTTTGGCCAAAATTGGCACTCCTCAGCCTTGCAGGTGTCAAAGCCTCAGAGAGGGCTGTGAACCCTGTCCCCACAAAGCGGTGGCTGTGGTTTCAGCATCCACATGGACTTAGCTCCTGGGTCTACACCTGCACATTCCACTTTGTACATAGGCCTCAGACCCCAGGGCTTTCTTTTCCTTTGAGGACTAGAGCAATCAAACACTTGCAAATGCTTTGTGACATCAGGTCTCCACTAGTTGGCCAGAAGCCCGCAGCTGTAGCTAAAATTGGGGTCTCCAGTCCAGTCCCAAGCCAAGCACTCACAGGTGTAAACAAAGCTCTCCAAACCTCAGCTTCTATGAGTCCCAGGAGAACCACCCTGGCTCTGAGCGTGCCTGCAAGAACTAGGTGTTTCCCCTCGCAGGTTCGGAGGTGTCTCGCAAGGGAAACACAAACAGAACAACGGTCTCCACTCCCAGCCCCAGTGTGGGAGTGTGAGGGGGCCCCACTGGCTCTAGGCACAAGCTTAGGGTGCCTGCTATTGTCTGAACCCAGGAAAAGAGATGAAAGGAGGGAGAGAGGGGAGGGAGGGAGGGAGGGAGGGAGGGAGGGAAAGAAAGAAAGAAAGAAAGAAAGAAAGAAAGAAAGAAAGAAAGAAAGGAAAGAAAGAAAGAAAGAAAGAAAGAAAAGAAGGAAAACAGATGGAGAGAGGAGAAAGGACGGCAATTCTTACAACTCTATAATCAAAAAAATAAGTAAAAACTTCTATCAAAGAGCAGGAAAATGAGACAAGAGAGTTTCATAACCTCGAGTTTCCAAGAGGAGCTGGACTGAACCCAGTGCAATTCGAGGTGAAACCCAGCTCTGCCTCCTGCAGCGAGCCCTCCAAACGTCCCTGCCCACGCCCAGGGCCTATGCTGCCCTGCAACATTACTTCCCTCTCTGCCTGTGGTTTCTATTCTGGCGCCCACTCCACCTGGATCACAAGTTCCTGGGTACCGGCAGGAACAGGGCTAGCCTTGCAGCCCAGTGTCCCCAGCACCTTAACCACCTTGAACAAGACACCACAGCTCCCTCTGTTCTTTACTGCTGGCAAAAGGCACAGGAGGTCTAGGAGGCCACTCAGACCAAGTGCTTGCCAGGACCCTCTGCCCCACTGGCTCAGCTTTGCACCCCAGACCACTCAGCTACCACACAGGAAGAAGCATTGCCTAATTCAAGAACCGAGGAAGAGAAGGCAGCCAAGATCCTTACACTACCTGGTTGTAATTCTGTCTTCTAATAACGAACTGAGGAACCACTCATTAGAATGAGGCTCCACGGCCTTGGCACTTTCTAGGTTACTCACTACTGTCCTTGAGTTGGAGCCTTTAATTCCACATCTGCACAGTGGGGCCACTGACCCCTCCCTGTTGGTGTCCTGAGGGACCCCTTCGGCCGTGAGAGTACAGTGCCCTGGACTTGGTCCAGTCACTGAACTGCAGGTCCTGCCTTGGCCTAATGCCTGTTGGTGGGCCATGGGTTTCTAGTTTCATTGATCAGAAAAGAATTGCCAGGGTTATTACTTCCATCCTAAAGATGGCACGTGCTAACACAGGAATTTTCAAGAACTCTTTTTTTGGCGGTGCTGATGGAAATCAGGGCCTCCTGCCGAGGAGGCAAGAACTCTGCCACTGGGCCACACCCCCAGCCCTGACTCCCTGGTTGGTTGTTTAAATATATCCCTTAGCCAGTGGCACCGGTAAGTGAGCCCAGCTCACAAAAATACAACCTTAATCAAAAGAAAACAGGGAGCCAGTATTCACAAAAGTATTCACAATGGTCTTCTTTAAATAGCAAAACTCACACCACACGTTTTAGGACATGACATCAATCACAAAATACCATATTTGCCAACTTTCCAGAAACAAATGCTATTTAAAGTAAGTGAGGCTTCTGATGAAGGAGAAGAATCCAGAGACCCATCCAGAGGACCTGCCCCAAGGTTAGGGTCAATTTCCATTTAGAATTCCTGAGAAACCTTAGACAAGTCATTGCGATCACTGTGGCACCTTGCTGTCATTGATTTGCTTTCTGAATGACTGGAGGCATGTCACAAAGCATTCCAGCAGAAATGCCCTAAAAGCATGGAAAAGAGTTAGGGGTGTGGCTCAGTGGTACAGCCTTTGATAGCCTGTGAGAGAGTCTAGGTTCCCAAGCAAGAGAGAGAGACAGAGACAGCACTCCGTGTCCAATTCTTTATTAAACTGTTAGCACTCTTGCTTGAGAAAGAATACATTCTTTCAAATAAGTCAGACTCAAAACCTGGGTTTAGAAAAGTGAGCTTTGCTGTGCTTTGAAAGCAGCACATAGTTTCCCTAGAGTTCTGCATTTACAACTTCCTGACCTCTGGAGTGTTTAGCATCTGTCAGGCTTCACAAAGAACAGAGCCAAGTTTCAAGGGTGGGAAAGAATCCTCCAGAACTTGACTTTTCAGAGCAGCTTTGATGAAGCTCCAGAGGAGGACCTGGCAAAGGCCCTGCCCCTGGGCCTGGGACATTACCCAGCACCGGCCATCAGAGCTCAGCTGCAGCTTTGTAGGGTGTGTGCATCTTCCAAAGCCTGCCTCCCACCCACCCTAGGCCAGTCAGTTCATACAGACCCAGCACTGGGCAGGTCAAGGCCTCCTCAAGTGCCCCATTAATAATTAACACTGGCTGCTGATTGGGCTGTAGTATGCCCAGGGCTCTACAGGTCTTATCTATCCCGAAGAAGAGCTCCATGCTGGGGGTGCTGATAACCCCATCCACTGATAAGATAAGAAACTGCAAGCAGATGGCCCTCCCTCCCTAGCCAGAAGGGGCTAACAGGCCTGCCCTGACTTCTTGGACCTCCCGCTCAGGACAGTGCCTGGGCCTCACTGACTTGCTATGAAAAGCCCTGCATAGTTTTGGGGCCAAGTCCTGTAGCTCAGTCATCCAGGCCGACTGGTCCATTTTCTGATACTGTAAGGAAATACCTGCGATAGTGAAGTTCTGGAGGCCTGCAGGCCCACATCAGGAGATGGTCCTGCTGGCAGAGTCTTAGATGGCACAAGCCATTACATAGCAGGAGCCAGCATGCTCATGTTTGTGTGTGTGTATGTACACGCGTGTGTGTCTTCTGCTCTTTCCCCAGTTTCTTGCAAGGTCACAGGATCTCACCTGTGACTGAGGGCAGCACCCAGTGACCTTACCAGGCTCTACCCACCTCTGAACACCACGGTGGGGTTAAATTCCCACCATCTTAATACCTCATCACGGAGAATAAACTCTAGCTCAGGTCCCATGTTCACACTCCTGCACCAACCCAGGCCCCAAACTGGAGGGGAAGTCAGAGTCACTGCTGCCCTGTCCGGAGTCCTGACCCAAAGGACCTGGTGAATGCTGGATTTGGGGAGCTTTCGTATAGAACAGCAGTGCCTAGGCCAGAACTCCATCTGCATGATCCTCAGAGTTCAAAAACAGGTCACTTGCAAGCCCAGCAGAAGGATTCAAACCGAAAGAAATGCCCAGATCTCTGAACTACAGTGTTGCAGAGCCTCTCCTGCCCTGCTTGGTCTGTGCCATCTCCTTGGCTCCCTCGCTTAGAAAGGCTTCATCTGCCCTGGCTTGGGGAGCAGGGGGCACCTGAGGGCTGGCCCCAAAACACAGAGGGCCAGGGACCATTTGTTAATTACAGGCAGTAGGTCTGCACCCAAATAATCCTGCCACCCCTGTGGCCTTGGACCATGCCTTGGGGTGCAGGTCTTGCATCCCTGAGTGGTGAATACAAGAGGCAAGGGGTCAAGGTTCTGCTGACTTTGCCTCAGCAGACAGGGCCAAAGCTTCCCCACCCTCCACTCCTATCGAGGGAGCACCCTGCTCTTGTGGCCTGGCCTGAGACAGATGAGGGAGGGACAGCTCCCAGAGCTGCTCTGCCACAAGTCAGTTTTCTGGAGCTGTGCCTGGCTGGCCTCTATCAAGGGAAGGGAACTCCTTGCCCCACAAGCTGATCCCCCACAGTTCCCCATCTTATCAGGTCAACCCCAAAGGAGCCAACCACGGCCTCCACCCACCCAGAGTCCAGAGGCGGCTCCCAGGACCAGCTCTGTGCCCTAGCGTGCCCTGGCCATGCCCTGACTGGCCCATTGTGCTGCCTCTCAAGGGCACATTCCACCCTTCTGCACACCCTAGGGTTTCTCCTTCTCCCCTGGTTCAAGGACACTGGCTTGGACTTGACTGTAAAGAAAACACTATCGAGTAAGTGACTCATGTTGATTAAAACTGCAACACAGGATGCAACATGGAAAAATAACTAGTCCAGAGATTGTTCAAAAAAGAGACCCTATCTATGGCTTCACGTCAATTTCTGAATATAATTAACATTTCTACAGCTTGCTGTTCCCCAGGAGCCCTGGGCCAGATCCACACCTCCCACGTTGTCCTGCAGCCTAAGAGAACACGTGGGCGGTTTTACCAGAGCCAGAGGGAGACTCTAGCAGCAGAGTAACAGGACTCCTCCACGTCCCACCACGGTGCTGCCTGCAGTAGGGCAGGACCTTGCCAAGAGGACTCCTGGTCCCACCCAGCACCCATCCTGACACCCCAAGGCTGCAGATCTCCCCAGCCCCATCCTGTCTGTCCAGTCTGAGCTGTCTCTTCAGACTCAGAAAGCCTAATGTGCCCCCAGCCCACATCTCTGAGGGCCTGGTGAAGCTGGCTCCTGTGCTACCCCCAGCAGGTGTCGAGCAGGTGTGGCAAGCGCTGGTCCTCCTGGACTAAGAACTTCCGCAAAGAGATGATCCACTCTGACCTCCTGCCCTGAGCTCTTCTCCAGAACTCTGCAACCACTGGCTCTTCTCCAGGGTCCCTCTTGCCCGCCCCCCCCCCACTTCTCCCTGGGGTCCTCGCGCGATTCTCTCTGAACACCTTCCCCCCCCCCCGCAGCTGTTTGCCACAAAGCGCGTCGCGGGTGCTAACTACCGCCAGGCTTTCCGTTTGTCCTGCAGCCGCTCTGCACCCGCCTGGCAGGTGACGCCCACGCTCCCGCAGCTCGTGCCCCGCGTCCGACGTCGGGCCAATGCCCGGGTCCCTATAGGGGACAGTCCTCACAAGGCTGGTGCGGATCAAGGCATGCAAGAAAAGTTCGTGGCGTACAGCTGGAACCGGCGGGACGGTGGGATGGCGGGACGGGTGCAGGACAGGCTGGAACTCCGCTCCAACTCACCGGTCACGTTGAGCCGGCCCCCCAGGAACCAGCCGATCTTGCCGCTCCCGAAGTCGCAGTCGCAGACCGTGTGGTACGGGGCGTCCCACACCAGCGTGTCGCGCGCCAAGGGCCCCCAGAAGGCGGCGGGCTCGCGGGCGGCCTGTGCGCGGCGCGCGGGGTAAGAGGCTGCCCGGGCCTGGGGGGGCGCCGTGTGCGCCCAGCTACCTGCTCGCACCAGGACGCCCCGCAGCCGTCCCACGCCGCGGCCCAGGCTGCGTGCCGCCATCGCCCACGCCGGTGCCGGTGCCGGTGCCGGTGCCTCAAGCCCCAGCCTCTGGGCCGGCACGGCCCCGCCCCACCCGGGTCCCCGCGCGCCACCTCCACCCGACCCGGGAGAGGGAGGAGCGGCGAGGGGAGGAGGAGGAAAGGAGGAGGCGGTGGTCCTGGCGCGCCCGCCCCGCGCCAGGCGGTTTCTGTTTGCGCGCCTGCGGAGCCCCGCGTTTCTCTACCCTGAGCCCAGAGGCAGGGCGTGGCCACAGGGGTCCGGGCCGAGGGCGTCGCCAGCATATGGGGCCCAGCTCGCGCTGGTGACTCTGCGCCCCCTATCGCCCCCGCGCCTTCTGGGACTAACAGGCCCAGGGGCTTCACAGCCCGACCCAGACCTCAACCATCGCCCCACGTCCTGTCCCCCACTCGCTAGCCTGGGCTCTACGGCCGTCACTTCCTGCCTGGGAAAAAGTGCGAGAAAACAACCGCAAGAACCCGCTGGCTAACTTGACGGGTTTGCGGCGGTGAGGCTTTCTGCCATTTGGATGTCTGGGGCAGGAGTTCAAACTCTGACATTTCTAGCGCCGGGCACCTGGCTTGGCCTGGTGCTTTGACTGGTAAAGGCTCCTTTTCCTTTTCTGCTATGCTGGATCCCGCCTCTGGGAAGCAGGGTGGATCCAGGCTCAGATACTGCCGCTGGTGGGCGCAGGGTACAGAGCTCTGCCTAGAGGTAGAGGAGGCGTGGTTGAGGGGCCAGAAGGGGACTTGTCTCTGCCAGTTCTGAAGTATTTCAACACCCAAGAAGTAAACACACGATACAAAGATACACACCGGGGAGGAGAATTTTGGAAAACTGGTTTGTTGAGTTCTCGGGCTGTGAAAGATTCCTTCCTCTTGGCTGTGACCATGGTGCTGCCCTAAACAGAGCCTGGCCTCAGAAGAGCTCCACAGACAGTCAGGCTGGGACAGCAGCACGTGCCCCACACCGTGCCAGAACTCAACTTGCATGTCCACATAGATTAAAAGTTATCCCAAGCCTTGCATGGTGATGCACAAGGACCATTCCAATAGGCTGAGGCAGGAGGATTGCAAGTTCAAGCCCAGCCCGACCATTTTAGTGACAAAGAGACCCTGTGTCAAAATTAAAATTTATCAAAAGCACTGTGAATGTAGCTCAATTTGAAGGCCCTGGGTTTTCCCAGTTAGGGCAGCATACACTTGCAGTCTAAATACTCAGCTGAGACAGGAGGATTGTTTAAAGTCAAAGTAAGCCTGGGCAATATAGCAAAAACCTGTAGCAAAACAAATCAAAATCAGACCATCCAAACCAAGCCTTGGCCAGAAAATACGCAAATACATACATACATACACACACATACACACACACACACACACACACACACACACACACACACACACACAAAGCAAGTGAAAAGAAAAACAAGTTACTTAGTACTAATAAGTCCCTCTGATTGCCAGCTCCCAAGTGGACCAAATGAGGAAGCTGAGCCCAGACAAGGCTGATGAAGAGCATGTGGCTGCAGCCGGAAGAGGAAGCCCGCTCCAGCACTTGGCCCAGATGCCTATTTTTAATCGATACATAAAATTATGGACAGAGAAAGCCTGTGAAGTGGCAGTTGGTCTCAGAGATGGCACAGACACTGCCTCCCGCCACACATGAGACAGCTGGCTCTTCTGGCCAGGAGCAGCCCCGTGTTCCAGTTCATGTTTAGCCCAGTATCACACATGTGCACACACATCCACACACATGCAAGCACCAGGAGCCTGGTTCCCCCTCAGTGTAGGCTGGCCTCCTCGTTTGACTGGCAAGACCTGGGAGAAGCAGTGCCTAGGCCATGGGGCGGGGGGGGGCAGGAAAGGAGCAGCTCCTGGACTCAAATGGGGCTCCCAAAGTCTTCTGGCTCTTCCAAGGCACAAAAGCACTCCCCAGTCTGTTCACAGAGCTGAGAGATCAGCCAGTGTCATTGTTGGAAGCCACTGGATGCTGTGAGCTTGTTACTCGGCCGACAGTAGCTGATACAACTTCAACCAGAAGTGTGTGCTTTTCTCTTACCCACTGGCCTCTGCTTTCAGCCCCTTTTACTGGTTGCTTTTCATATCTTTGTCCTCAAAGCCTTAGGGCTTTGGGCTTGAGGCTCTGGCCTCAGCCCCCTCTCTTCCTTGCCCCTAGGACACCATGGTCAGCTCTCTGAGCGCAGATTCTCCAGTCCTATCCTCAACTGAGAGCTTTCCTGCCAATTACAACCTCTGCTCACATGAGCAGTCACCATCTGTGTCAAGTCCCCCAGGTCAGAGGACAGACGATACACTTCTTGCAGGTGACCTCATCCTCTGATCACCAGAGACCCAGCCTTGAGCACACTGTGTGTCACCCAGCAACCTGACCAGAGTACCCACAGCACTGACCCTCATCCTGCCCTTTCCATCCTGAACACACCATCTCCTTTCAGCTCCCAAGAGTCCCACCCTGCTCTGCAGCCTCAGCACTGGGTTGGCATGCAGCTCCATGATGAGCACCTGCCTAGCAGGTGCCGAGCCCTGGGCGTCCTCATTGCCACCAAACTGCAATGGCAGATGAAGTTGTCCTGCAGCTTGAAGCAATCCACAGGCTCCTCCAGGAGGACAGGCTTTCCCCTGGCCCTGGCACAAGGACGTATCCTCTGGCCTGCCCGGCACCTTGCAGAGCAGCAGAACACCAGGTCCGTCTCCAGCCTGTTGCAACAGAATCTGCACTTAACGCATCCCTAGGAGACCTGTGTGCATATTTGTGTCTGAGAAGTGCCCCTGGCCAGGCATTCGAACAGTTGTCATCCCAGCTACTAAGGAGGCTGAGGCAGAAGAATCACTTGAGCCCAGGAGTTGAGGGCCAACCTAAGCAACATAGCCAAGACCCCATCTCCAAACAAAAAAAGCAGCAGCAGCACAGCCTCCTTTCTCCACGTCCCCCTCCAGGGTCCATCTCCCATCACCTCCCCATCCCAGCTGAGGCTCCAGCCACTCAGACCTTGTCCTGTCCCTCCCACACCAGAACTCAGCCCCAGGACCTGCCGTTGTGCTCTCCTCCTGCCCCCTAACCTCATTCAGGTCTCTCCAAACATCCTTTAACCCAAAAGGGCCTCTCTGCCACCTCCCTGAAGCCAGACCTCAGCTCTCAGCTCTAGTCCCAGCCCTGACTTTATCTTTTTCCGTGCATGTGTTCATTGTTTTCCTGCCCCTCCCAGCAGGAAGAACCCTGGCCATGAAGTGGTGACACTGGCCATGGCAGGATTGTGTCCACAGCAGAGAGGAGGGAGTGTCAGCATGCAGTGAGCACCCCATAGACCTTTGCTGGGTTAATGAGAAAGAGTAAACAGGTGCTGCCTTCTCTTTCTGTCACCTGTGTTTCCCATCACAGAGCACCCTGATGACTCCCTTTTCATCCTTCTGGGGATGGGGCTGGAACCCAGGGCTGCTCGTGTTCCCCCAACTGAGCCACGCCCCAGCCCCTGGACCTTTTCTGGGGCTGCATGAAGAGAGCAGCTGCATGTGCAGAGGACACTTCAGAGCCCACCATGTAGTTTCACTCTCTGCTGCCCACCACACCCTGGAGCCTCACAGGAAGTATGACTGCCCTACCAAGGCTGTGGTCTCCCGGTACTACAAAGACAGGTACCACAGGGCCTGGTCCCTAGAATTTCCACCTTGCAGTGGGGTTGCCTCATTCTCCCAAAGGACCAGCATGGGCAGATCCCAAGGGAACAGAGGCTACTCCTCTGTCTGAGTGGATTCCTAATCCCTGAGCCCACAGACAGAGGCTGCCAGCTCCACTTTGCTCGGCAAACAAGCTTGGGGCCACCGAGCCAGGCAGTCAGGGAGCGGAGGGGCTGCTGCCTATTGGGCAAGCAGCTTCAGGATACAGTCCACACACTCCCCTTTGTGTCACCTTCATCATGCCTGCCCACATGACGCTGAGAGATGGGCACCCAGTCACTACCAAAAATCCTTTCTGCCAGCACAGGGCAGCAGTGGGGAGGACAGGGCAAGGCCCAGGGATGAGGGACCAGTACAAAGCCGACCTGTCATTGCAGAGCTGATGACCTTGGAGCTGGGGCAGGAAAACAGAGAGACAGCTGGCGGCTGCCATCAGCACCTGCCGTTCCCTTCAGTCAGCGTCCAGAGGTTGGGGCTGGCCCATGGGGAGTGGGCTGCACTCTCTCTGACTTGAGGCCTCTGAAGGTCAAACAAGCAGCCCTGTTTCAGCTTGGCAGCATGCACGGGTTAGGATAAGTAACTCCATCTTCATTTTTAGCCTGATTGGTGCAAAGTGAAGTCCCAAGCAGCGGCCTCCATAATATTTACCTAACATAAGAAACCCTCAGTGTTTTGAAATTTTGTTTTAGTTTTTTTTCCCCCTTCTTCTTCTCTTGAAATAAAATGGTTTTGGAAAAAAAAAAAAAAAGAAATTGTCAGGCTTGGTGACACACTCCTGTAATCCCAGCACTCAGGAGGCTGAGATAGGAGGATCACAGTGAGTTCAAGGCCCACCTGAACCATTAGTGACATGCTGTCTCAAAAAACAAAACAACACCAACAACAAAAATCAACCTTGATTGACGAACAATGCCCCCATCAGCCAGCTCTGCTGCAAAGCCACCAAATGCAGCACTGTGGACTTAGCAGTCTCCAAAGAACCTGCAAGTCCCCTGTGTCCTCTTCATCCACCCAGCTCCTTCTTCCTGTGACAATCACAGGACGTCTGGGCCCCCAGACACAGCTCCTGGATGAGGGCCACGGGTCAGGGCCTTGCCAGGCTGCCGGGGAGGGCACCATTCAGACAACTGTGATGTGAAACAAAAGCAAAACGGGAAGTTCAGTGAGAGTGCTGAAGAGGCCAGCGGAGCGCCCAGAAGCTGGAGACTGAGAGTGGCTGTGTGCGGCACAGGGCTACCTTTCCCTGCACTCCTCATGAGCCCATGGTGACTGGGCAGGGTAGGGTGTCTCATGCTGTCACTTCAGATGGGACCCAAGTCCCTGCACTGCGTCTCACACACAGTGCGACTGGTCCCTGTGACCCTGCTCTGCTGCCCTGCTTTCTGCAGGGTTTTTCCAGTCACCCAGACATGCAGGACAGGAACAGTGACCACGGACATCAGGAGCAGGTCAGACAGGAAATGGGGCCAGGACAAACTCCAGTAGTGTGGAGCACCCTTCTTGGGGCCACCTTCTGTAGTTTGTGACAGTCCCAGAGTCACT